CCCCCCCAGCCACATCCACAGCTCCTGCCGAGAGCCCAAGCACAAGGGCCAGCTCAGATCTTCACTCCTTTCATTACCCATTCCTGTTCGAAGCTCTCTTACCTCCTGCCTCCTTGGTCCCCAGCTTCAGTGATACCCATTGGTAAAAGCTGTTGCAATCAAGGGACCCTGCAAAGAAAGAGTTAAAACCCCACTCTTAAGCAAACAAAAGAAAAGTGAAGGAGAATTACTACCACAACAAATTCAGTCACAGCCCAGATACTGGGAAAGCTGGTTTCAGTTGGAGGTGCCAAGTCTAAAGAGCACATCACCTTGCAGAACACTGCGTCAGGGCCAAGACAGGCTCTTGAAAAGTCTGCACCAGATCAGGGAAACGTCTGGAGATCAGGACCCTGCATGGTGGCCAGGGAGAGCCAGCAGAACCCAGGGATGCGGGCTCCAAGTGAACAGCTGCGTTCTGCACCATCTGCCTGTGGTCAGTAGTGGCATGGCAGACACTGCGGTGGGTAGTATTTCTTAACCAGAATGTGGGCCGTGGGCTGAGAGGGGGCCACCCACCGCAGCTCACCCCCATCACCACATGGAGAGGCAGCCCTGGTTGTGCCACTCTCCATCTTCCTCTCCCTGGGCAGAGCCCGATAGGGAACACTCACCCCTAGGCTGTGGCCAAAGCCGGTGCTTGGGGCTGGACTGGCAGCGCTGATGTAACTGCTGACCCCTGAGTCCTGGTTGGCAGCTCCATAAAGCTCTGCCATCGGCCCAGGGCTGGTGGTGCCCAGAAATCCACCGGTGCGACTGGGGGTGGAACCTATGGGAGGCAGCAAAACTACAGAGTGAAGATCCCAAAAATGTAACCCCATCCCACCCCCCTCCCGCAGCCCATCGCAAACCTCTGTGATAGGACACCGCGCCAGGGAGGAAAGTGGCAGTTACCTGTCCCTCGCACCACGGCTGCCGCAGCCGCTGCTGCCGCCATTGGTCCATACGCAGTGAGGGGGATTGCTGGAAAAGAAGGAACAGGCACCTCAGGGGCACTGTGGCTACATGAGAAACTCCTCAACAAGAGCCTTCATTTCCTGCTGCAAAATCCCAGACCCACACAGACATATTGGCTTAGTGCCTCACACAGGACATCCACAGATGACAACAGGGGAGCACACAGCCCTGCATTTATTGGTACCCTTTTGCACAGCAAATGTCCAGGGGAACTCACTAGCCATGCTCTGCTAAGCCCACCCCCTGGAGCAGCTGAGGGCACGACGTGGAAGAGCTGAACCAGAAGTGGGCAATTTCAGATGTATCCTGCTGCTACTTAGCTTGCAAGATGCAGTTAATCTGAAGCTACAGATCCAGATTTTGGCTGTAAACGTGGAGAAACACAGCAGCTGGCAGCTCAGCATCCTGAAGCTCAGCCCCTCCTCTCTGTCCCTTGGTACTATTCTTGAGTAACAGTTTAACAGCCTCTTTCTCCCTGTTTCTCTACTCTTCTCAAGATGCACCATTCCTCCCCATTCTGAGTCTTGCTCCTGAAGTGCTCAACCCCTTGCCGTTCAGTGTAGAAGAGCGGGAAACATATACCTAGGGAGCAGAAACTAGAAATGGCTTAATTAAAACATAAAGTCTTAATTTATATGTAGCAGTTCTAATTCCCAACTCTACTGCCACAGGCATCCAGCCCTCAGGGCAGGAGGCATCTAGCCAGTATGTTTCTCTTTGCCCTTAAAATGACTGGGTCAGCATTTCATGCTTGAATGTGAAATTCACTGTGATTCTGTTTAGAGCACCATAAAAAGAGGTCAGAACAAATCAATCGCGTTAAGGCTGAAACCCAGACTAGCTTATAAGGGAATATTTAGTAGCAGGCACCAGCCTGCTTCAAGCAAACGTCATATGAGGCTTATATCTGGGTTAGCCGCTCATTACAGGCCCTGGGCCAACGTGAGCATGTTGCTGCTTCGCATCACCCCCAAAAATGCTGTTCCAGGGAGGAAAGGCTGCTGGCAGCCACCCTCCTGCCCAATCATTGCTTTAACACACAGCTGAATGAATGCGGTTTTACTGAGAAAGGAGGCCAGGTCTTCTCAAAAAGACTCCAGTTCTTTTTCCAGGAAAAACCCTTCTTGCCTTTGCAGTCTATGTACTGAGACACGGGGTTTGTGTTGTGATGACAAAGCACCTGCATGTTAGCTCCCTGCATGCTGGAGCAATCATCCCTGCTTGTGCCATCCCCTCATCTCAGTTCCACTTGCCAAGCCCGTAAAGCGCAGCCCATTTACACGCACGCATCCACTTGAAGGCACAAGGGCCCTCGAGCACTGCACAGCTCGCTGGGCCTTTGTAGGAACGAAGGGGGCCCTGCCCTTCGTGGGACCAACTCCAGCCTATACATGGGAATCACAGCTCTTGGCCTAGCCAAGAGGCTGCACAGTGACTGTTTAACAGTAGGTAAGCGTAACGGCAAGGGAAGAATGCCACGATCCCCAGCTGGTCCTTCAGCGAGACACTCAGGACTGTAAGCTAACATGGCACCCAGCCAGGACAGCGGCATTAATAACTTCTTGTTGTACAGAGCCCTGGTGCACCCCAGCCGCCGGTGACAGCCAGGGCCCGGGCAATTCACCTCCGCTTGAAAAAGACACAGTGCAGCCGGGGGTGGACCTTGGAGGGAAAAGCACTTTCACTAAGTCACCAATGTTCCTCTACAAATTTTATGGGTTTTGCTGAAAAACACACATGTAAATACACACTGGGCCCGCGTCTCCTTTGCTTGGCAACCAAAAGGCTCAGAGATGGGGATCAGGTGCTCGTGTAGTTGCATACATGGTGTCAGGGAATGGTTTTATTAAGAGGGAGCTAGGATTTAGTGTCCCCCTACCTCCCTCAGGGCAATTTGTTCATTGGTGGCTGCCAACCTCAGCATCCTCAGGAATGGAGAATCCCTGAGGATTGACATGGTTCTGTGCCACAGAAACCCCCTCTCAAGCCTGTTTGTACTGATAATTCCAGGAGAGCTTCTCAGGAAGCTTTTCCACACCCTCATTGCAGAGAGATTCAAACCCTGAAACAGGTTGGGGCAAGGAAGCGCTGGAGAAGAGGAACACCACAGAAATGAGATGGCACACAGGGAGCAGGGTGCTACACAAAGCTGCTTTTCTACAACAAAAACCATGGACAGGACAAAGCTGGGGAAAACATGGCCATGGAGGGGAAAGTCAACAGAAGGAGCATCACCTAGAGAGAACACACCGCACACAACCCAGGGGCTGAAGATCCAGAGGGTATTGGCACTGTGAGGACACTGAGCCGAGGACTAGTCCCTGGAGAATGGTCCTCTGCCCCTGTTTCATTCCACAGTTCCCTACGAGCACTGCGGGACTTTACTGTAGAGTCCCACCACGCTTGCTTCTGTCCAGGAAGCCTGTGTAGGAGTAGCTGGGGAGCTACACCACCCGGAGCAGGGAGAGCATTACCTGCAGCCCCTCCTGCACAGGGAAATGGGATTAGAGTAACCAGGAGTGCCCCCACACCCTCTCCCTCCTCCCAGCACTCCAAATCTCGTCCTTGAAGCAGCTTGGGTTAAGGTCATTTGTAGGCCTTTGAGAAGTCACCCTGCTCTCTGCAGTTTTCCATATTTGGTTTACACCCAGCCTGGGGCGAGGAGCTAAAAATGAGGCAAGCAGCAGGAAAGGCCATCTAAGGATTACATGCCTTCAATTGGTATGCCCTGCATTGCCCTTCTCAGAGGCAATACACATGGACCTGATTGCCTCTCCATCTTTCCAGCCCCAGCTTTGGATGGAGCTCATACAGATGGAAGAGGAAATAAGGAATGTTTCCAGTCTAACTGCTCCATGCCATGGAGCAGCGACACCACTGGAACAGCCCAAAGCCCCCTTCTCCCCTTCCAGCTTGTGAGTTTAGGAAATGAGCGGGACTGACCTGTGAGCTCAGGGAGGACGGGGGCACTCGGGAGAGGGGTCCGCTCTACACGGAACTCTAAAAACGAAATGCAAGACAGCTTAGGAACTCATCAAACGCCCCGAGGGAGACCCCGCAGAGACAGCAGCCAGGGTCTGCTGGGGGAGCAGCCTGCAGCCAGAGTGCGACCAGGCCAGTGCCTTCTTTAATTTATAACTGGTGCTGAAAGGTGCTGGACTCCTGCCCTGGAGACTGAAAGGATCCACTTATCCTTAGAATAAATCTGGCCAAGGCAGGGCAAGTGCAAGCTTCACTGTGCAGCCTCAGGTCTGCCCTGGAGTACCGCTTTGCGACCCATCGAATCTGACTTCTTGGCTGCTGGGCCAGTGGTGCTCAGTGTGTGCCACACTCATCTGGGCATGGGTTTACAATGAGGTGCTTGAAGCCACTACAACTGAGACCCATAAACTGGATTCATGGAGAGCTTCCAGACAGCTAGGAGGCAACAGCAACTTTCAGCCACAGTCAGCCTGGGCTCACCTCAGGCAAAGAGGAAATCTCCCATTCCCAGCCCCTAACATCAAGACTTCATAAATAAACCATCACACTGAGGGATGGAGTAAGGAAGGGATGCTCAGAGTTGCCACTTCTCTAGAAAATAGCAAGTTGTTTCCCTGAGTGTGTTCTGCCTCATTCCCTTGCCTCACAGAGAATGGGAGGGAGAAGAGGCCCCTGAAAGCTGTGAGCAGCTGCGGCACAGCAGGTTACAGCCATTGCTTGCAGAGTCCATGTTCTGTGCATATGGTGGGGTTGGGAGCTTGAAACCACCCAGTTTGTGGGGGATCTGCAGCCCACCACCCCAGCAGATGTTTTCTGGAGGCTGTGAGTGGTCCAGGCGCAGTTCAGAAACACAACTGTAGCATTGCAGGCGCCTGCGTTTCGGGTGCCTAGGAGTTCCCTGGCCCATGGAAAGCCATGTTTTAAAATTCTGTGCTACTTTCAGAGTGGTGGCAACTCTGGTAAAAGAGAGACAGACATACACAAAGGCAGCAAGACAGGCAGAGCTGCAGGGGCCCTTCTGTGTCACAGCAGCAGCCCTACAGAGGAGGCGAACATAAAGGGCATCAGAGGAGCCTTGGGCTTTTCCTGCCACTGGCGTGTGAGGATAATCCTAATGAAGGACAGGCTGTTCCCACCTATTCCAGAGCTTCTCCCCTCCCCCTTCCACATGCGTCTCCAATTTAAAGAAAGACCAAACAGGGGAAAGGGTGAAAGAGGCAGAGCCTGGGTCACAGATCATGCCAAGGACTCCCGTCACCTGAAGGCAGACCAAAAAACCAAGCAAGGAGCACCACTCACCAGGGAACTGGTAAGTGTAGCCAGGTGCAATGCCAGTGTAACTTCGACTCGCGTAGGTGGCAGCTTGGAAGCCTGGATAACCTGGGGGAAGAGAAAAGGGCTCTGTTACTGCAAGCTTGCAGGGTCCATGTCCTCAGTGCCTGGCTGCTCATGAGCAATGCGATCATTAGTGTTAGAAAGCACAAACAGGGCTAAAAGCAGAAACCCCAGGAAATTGCTGGGCAGAATCTGCACACATGCAAATCTGCAGAAGAGTTTTAGCAGGCCCGTTTAGTTTTTTCCTCACTCCAAACATGTAAGGGCACGGAGATTTCCTTCTCAGAAACTCACAGCTCTGCAGACTAAAGCTTTCTGATGCATCAGCTGGATTTACAAATAGGAGGAGATCAGGGAGGTGAGGGCATTTGAAGAGCTGAATAGCTCTGAGTCACTTTTGCACTAGAAGTACTGGCAAATGCAGGCAGAGCGCTTCTTCCTGGCATCAGGCGGGAGGACAATTCCTGCCGCTCCCCGGGAAGCTGACCACCGATACAGAACAAGCCTGTGAGAAGGCAGGGCACTGAATGAGAGATGAGTATTTGATCTGAGATCTCCCAAGACATGCGTATGTGGATTTTCCAATGACTCAGCTTGAGCCTTGCTGCTTTAAATTCAGATGGCTTAAAAAAGGCAAAACCCAAAACCCCAAGCTGGAGATTTATTTTCCTTCAATAAGTCAAGTGAAAACATTGGGGAAAAATGCCCTTTTGGGGTTTTGTTCAGTGACTAACTGCTACTCGGCAGGCTTAGCAAGGAGAGCCAGGCTGAGTACAGCCTGCCCAGCAACACCAGTGATGATCCTGAGCAAACAGTGTGCGCTTGGTTCAGCTCAAGCCTGGCTAGAACGAATAGAGGGAGGGAGAGAAGCCAGGAACAGCACCCGTGCTCGAAGGATCATGACTCTCAGATCCAGGCACGGGGCTTTATAGACCTAGAAGTGGGAGCTATAAAGGACTTTTTTCTTTTTTTAAATCTTTTATCTGAACACATTTGCCTTAGAATCATTGACAGGCATGAAACCCAGCCTGCAAAACAGTCCCACGATAAGTGTATGGTTTTCCTTGCAATACCAGATACTTGCTATCCCTGAGAGGGAAGGAACAAAGTGAGACAAAGATTAAGTAGAACTTGAAGGGCATTTTTATAGTCTTTAAATGGCAGTGAGGACTTTTACATGGATGACTGTTTCAAGTGGAAGCTCGGGAGCTCTTTAATCAACTAATTCATCAGAAAGCCTGTAGAAGTATGGGAGGAAGATGCCTGGGCGCACACTAGTCCATGCTCAGTTCAGCTATGTAGTTGCATCCTATTCCACGAGAGCCATTAAAGAATTACAGTCTATATGCTACGGCACTGCAGGACCGTTAATGGAGTTGCAGAGGGCCAGAGCTGCCCAGCACATGGCTGTGTCTTGCCAGCTCCAGCTGTCACAGGGCAGCAGTGACAAGTTTGCAGTTTTTCCAGGTGCCACCAGAGGGCAAGTTGTGATCGCAAACAGGACCGGGCACCCCCCCAGCGTCCCCGGCCTTGCACCAGGGAGAGCTGCCCTTGGCAGCCCTGCCTGCTCTCGGAATAAAACCTTTAAGCTGCTGCCTGGCACGACCGGGAGGTGGGGAGGAGATCTGTCCTTGGGCTTACCCAGCATGCCGATCCCGAGCATGAAGGCATCCATCCCATAAGGCATGACTCGGGACCGCCCTCGTGCCGAGCCCGTTGGGGACATCACCTCCTTCGGCTGGGCTTTTTTACACTCAACCTGCCACAAGAAAGTAAGGATCAGGCTCAGCTTCCACCAGCACAGACCTCTGCCACAGAGCGCAGGCAGCAGCCGGGCTGCAGGCCAGGCAGGGCTGCCCATCGCGACAGCACTTCCCAGCCCTGGCCACTGCCGGCAGCCCATCCCACTGTCCCTCCCCAGCATCCCTGCCTCTGGCCTGCACACTGCCAGCCTTCCCTCTCGCTCTGCGGCCACCACAGGCAATGGGGAGCTCAAACACTGCTTTCCTCCTCCTGGTGCTGCCCTTGATGCTCTGCCTGGCCCTGCGCCAGGGCCTCAAAGCCTAGTTTTCCTCATTCCTGAATAAAGGTAACGCCTGCCCCCTTCCCAGGCCACCAAGAGGTTTCATGTAACTTTGAAACCTCCGAGTATTGCACAATTCCCCGTTATAGTTAGCTCTCCTCCTTGAAAGCTCAGTATCGTGCTGGTTCACCTCCACACTGCAAGTTTCTTTTTCAGACTGGCTGCCATTATTTTGGGGAAAAGACTCAATCCAATTCCCCACTGCAGAGAAAGCACGTCGGGACCCAAGTGCCTCACACCCCACCCCTGTGCCACTGCCCCATTCTCCATCCCATGTCTCTGTATCTCCTCCCCTGGGTTCTGCCCCAGACACTCACCATTTTGTTGTTGATCTCATGGAAGTGGATTTCACACACTTTTTCCACAATGTCTTCACTTTCAAAGGTGACAAACCCAAAACCTGAAGAAAGGCAAAACTCCTTGATCAGATCAGAGCTCTACAGTTTGCACCCGCTACCCACATCCTTTTATTGGCAGGACGAGAGAAGGAGCCACAGGCTTCTAGGATGGTATAATCAACCCTTTCTAAACCAGCTGTCACTCATATTCCCTCTCCAGCAAATCCTGCTTTTATGCACAAGAAAAACAGGAGCATCCCCTCATAGACTCCCCTTTCCTCCTCATCCTGTACTTCCCACCCTCTCTGAACCCAACTGCTCTCAAAATGAAGTATATTTTTTAACTTTGCTATTTGCAAGGCAAACCACATGGCTGATAATGCCGGGGAGGATCCCAGCAGACAGACGCTCACACAAAGAAAGTCAGTGGAGAAATGAACAGCTGCTTGCCAGGACATCACCATCCTCGCTAAACACACCCCACCAGCAATAACACCCTGCACGTTTCCTCTTCAGTCACCACTCACAAAGCCTTGTCTAAGCAGGCAAGTATAAGAAATGCAGTTGCACAGAGCAAGACAGATATAAACAAGCTAAGCGATTTGCAAAGTTTCACTAAAGTAAGGTTAGTATCTGGGGTAAAACAGGACAGGATGTTCCTGGCCCCTGGCCCACACTCACACCTCCTTTCTCTCACCAACCCCTTTGCTGACAGTTTTGGCAAAGACCAGCTCGGGTGGGCAGACTAAACTCCTCTCAGCTGACTGCAGACGTTTCCGGAAAACTGAGGCAGATGGGAAGATGTCTTTAAGCTTGTCTTACAAGCAAGCTGGGATTAAGCAGAGCTTTCCGCTTTCCAGAACTGGCCGATTCCATGGTGCTTCAAAATAACTTTTAAAAAACAGACAGGGATCTGCTGCCCAGAACCCCACTTTTTCTCCATACTGCCAGAAAAGTTTCCCTCCATAAACTCCTCTGTCTGTCTGTGCCCGGGTAGTTTCACACCATTTACCTCAGCACCCGTGAGCAGAGAGGCTCGGTAGTTCAAGAGCCGAAACCAGTCCTGAGCCGCACCAGACTCCCACCAGGCCTGCTGCACCCTGGACAGAGCCCCACGCTGCCAACACAGTGGCTAGCAGCTCCCCCTGCTCCTTCCGAAATACCCGACAACTCTTTAATTGGACTAGTGACTGAGAGGCACTCATGGAGGAACAGAGGTTAACACTTCTTCCCTTATAAGCTGAAGCTGGAACAACATCCTAGGCCAGGCAATCAAAGTAGATTTAATGGCTTTAGAAAAAAGGAAAAACCTGAAGGGCACACAGTGTAGCAAGAGCAGAAGGGAGCGTTCCCTCGCCGATCCAGGGGCAGAGGTGCTTGGAAGTGCTTCAAACACCACCCAGACATGAGAGTGGTCCAGCACAGGGCTGTTACTGGCCCCAATTTGGAATACACCAAAGCTAAGTTTGCAGGTTAAGTTGTTGCCAATAAATCTCTGAGCTGATGCATTACTTGCTAGTGTCAAGCCCTGCCGCGCTCTGGGGCAATCGGTCTGCAGACTCACCAGGGGAGCGAGACGCAGGGACACCCATGGGTGGGCTGGGTCCAGATAGTGCAAATATTACAGCCTTGCTCCCATCCTGTAACCAGACTCCACCAGCAAGACTTGGGTAAGAAAAGGTGACCTGGGAGCATAAGCGGGCTCCGAGCCGAGGAAGGGGAGAGAGGCAGGCACTCTTCATGCTCTCGTGTCAGCTTTCCCGGAGCTCAGATTACTCGGGACAAGGTAAGACACACTCTGCAGGCTGGAGCCATGGAGGTAAGCGGGCAGGGGAGGGGGCCGCCTCCTCTCACATATCTGCAACTCGGCGAGTTTACAGCACAGGAAACGCACTGGACAAAAGCTCTCTGTGCTGCAAGGGACGCTGGTAAAGGATGCAGATGCAAAAGGATGGGGCGACTGGAGGCAAGATAAAGAGCAGCTGCGACCCACATGCCCTGCTGCTGGGACACTAACCCCTCCCTAGGCAAGGCAGGAGGCAAACCCTCCACAGTTCCCTCTCCTAAGGCCAGATGACCGCTCTCACCTCGGTGTCGGTTGGTCGTCTTGTCGAACATCAGCATTGCATCGTCCACCTGCAAAGAGAAGAGCTCTGGATCAGACTATTGCCGTTGCCACGAGCATCCTCCAACCCATTTGTGCAGAGCTTCCTGGGCCTCTCCAAACCAGAAGGGATCAAGACAAGACCTCCCATCCCCAAGAAGGAAACAGGGTGTGCATGCACACAATCATCAGCTACCATACCACACACGTCCCCAGGCCACAGCCAGCATGGTCCCCCACCAGCCCGGGGCAGGTGCTGCTGGGCTGAGCCCCCTCGGCCCGGCCCCTGGCAGCAAGCGACCCCGATTGTTTGCCTGCGGCTCCAGCCGGGGGGCAAGGAGCAGGGAAGGCATTGTTCCCAAATCCCAGCCTCAAAGGAGAGGAGAATTAAAGGGGGGGAGAGAAGCAAAGCTGGAGAGGGGAGAGGAATAAGGGGCCTCCCAGCGACAGGGGAAGCGGAGGCCTCAGACAACAGAGCCTGCCTGGGAAAGCTGGGAAGCGCCCCCGCCCCCACCCCAGAGGAGCCTTTCCTCTAAGTGAGGTTTCCCACTGCTGGAGGCTGTAATTAGAGCAAATTTACTGCAAGGCCCGAGCAGGGCTGCCTTCCCGGGGGGAGGGGCGGCCAGATCCCATCCCCCAGCCGGCCTGGGGCTGCTCTCCTCCCCGGCGAGCACATCACCGCCTGGTGCCACTTTTCCCCCCCATCTTCCCACTGGGTGTTGCCTTGCAGAGACGCATCTGCACCGCTCCGCAGGTCAGGCCAAGCAGGGTTAAAAAATACACTGCAATCCCCTCCGTGTAAGCCCCGGTGTAAACCTGTCCCACTGACCCATCCCTCGTCTCTAATACCACTGCCTTAATCCGATTATGAAACTGGACATGCAAGTGCTCAGGGGAGGCGGCAGCAGTCTCCGGCCAGCAGCTGCCCCGGCCCTCCTCCTCCTCCTCCTCCTCCTCCTCTTCCTCCATGCAAGACAGCCGCTCCCTGAGCAGCGAGCCCCGTGCGCCCCAACTCCGTGGAAGGATTACTCCCTTGCCTTGTCCCCAGAAAGCATCTGCATTACTGCCTTCTCCAGAACAGCCTGCCGGTGAGGGCCGAGCCCCAGTGCAGGCACCTACCAGCTTCACTCGTGGAGAGCCCATGGCCTCAGTCAGGGAAGGGAGAGGGCTCCTAGCCTCAGCCCCCCCAGGACAAAACAGGAACACCCGGCTCCACCTCAGTGCCAAGAGGATGGATAGATTCCTTGCTAATGTGCCACCACAAGCAGACAGAGATCATCTGTGATGCCCTTGGGCTTGTCCATCATGTCCACCCCGCAAGAGCCAGGTGACAACAACCTGGCTCCAGCTCATCCCGCGCTCTTCCCATCCCGGCTCAGCCTCCCTCGGCCAAGTCAGCAAACACCTGAGAAACGTGCCAGGCGTCCAGCCAGAGCCACGGGGGACATAAGACTTCACACAGACCCAAGGCAACACCTCAGCAGCTTTCCAAGACACAGCCAGCACACCACGCTGCCATTCCTCATCACTGCTCACTCCTGCCCCTGCACCATTTCCCTTCACGGTGCCAGCACAAATGTCATGTGCTGGGGGAAACCTGATGTGCCTTAAAGGCTTAAAAATATTTCAGGAAGCTTTACCATCTGTTTTTGCTAGTTTTTAAAGCTAGATCCATTCCTCCATCCAGTTCTCAGAAGGGCCGGGCACATAGCTGTCCTCCCCAGTAAACCTGGGAGAAAGTTGCGTCAACGGCACCCTGCAGCAGTGCTGCTCCTCAGGACTTCCACTCAGGTAGCTGAAGCCCACAAACCCATCGCGATGAGAGATGGGCACAAGAAAGAAAAACCCAGTGGGGATGAGCACAGCCCAGCTGCTGACTTGCTCTGTCTGACCAGCCCCAGCAACCTCTTCTTCACAGAGCCTGGGCGGCGGTAGCAGCTGCAAGTGGCAGAGCTCCGCACACATCCACACACAAAACCACCTCACAGCGATGGCCTGGGCAATGTCCCAGGCACTCCCATGGCACTCAAGCACTCAGAACCAGAAGACGTGCAACTGCATCATCCCAAATTGCATTTGGCACACCAAGAGGAGAGCTGCAGCCTTCCTCTGTCTGAGCTTTTTCCTAAGTTTCTGCTGGTGCTTTGAGATCAGGTGTCTACACAGCACCCCAAAACGTACTCATCTTGCAAAAACATAGAATCATAGAATCATAGAATGTTTTGGGTTGGAAGGGACCCCTAGAGGTCACCCAGCCCAACCCCCCTGCAGGAGCAGGGACACCGCTAACTAGATCAGGCTGCTCAGAGCCCCGTCCAACCTGGTCTTGAATGTTTCCAGGGATGGGGCCTCCACCACCTCTCTGGGCAACCTGTTCCAGTGTTTCACCACCCTCATTGTAAAGAACTTCTTCCTTATATCTAGTCTAAACCTACCCTGGTTTAGTTTAAAACCATTACCCCTTGTTATTTACAGTAACACATGTAATCTATTTGAAAGCTGTTTCCTGACATGAACTAAATCTTAGATAGATATCTATGCATATATACACATAATATGTGAAATAGTCTCACCCTACGCAACTCTAGGGCCCCAACTCTATGCGTAGCTACAACTGGTGGCTTTCATTGACAACAAAACCTATACAGGAGCATCTTCTCATCTCCTTCCAAGGCAACGGGTGAGATGAGTTGGGTGGTCTCAGGCAGCAACGCAACCAGTGATGTGACATAAAGCAGGGCCCCACAACCCAGGAGCCTACAGAAGCCAGCAGGACAGGCTGCAGACCGGAGCACACTGCAGAGCTGGGAGAAAGGCCTCACCTGCATCCACAGGGAGCAGCTACTTCCAGCACCCTGCCCAGGGGGTCTGGCCTGACGCCAGGTCCCTCCTAGCTCTTACCATCACCTCGCCTGGCGCTAGGGGAGGGCATGGGAACTGGCTGCCTCAGGTCATCGGGATCCCAGAGGCCCAGCGCTACCCAAACACCCGGGCAGACCCTTGCACAAAGCGCTGACTGCTGAGGGGATGGAGGGTACCATGGCTGGCTCCCACCAAAGCCCCAGACCCCAGCAGGCCCAGGACCCAGACAGGAGGCAAG